TACTTACCGTCGCTTAACGCTGCTTTTGGAGGCAGCCATGTTGTGTACGCCCTCAACATCAAAATATGTTCAAAGCTTGAGTTCTCGATGTCAAACCTAGCGGATTTCATTCCTGCAGAAGCTTTTCCTGACCAAGCTATGGCACGGTGTCAAAGCTGTGATTTTCATTAAAAAGCTACACTTTCATTAGTACCCCTGATCGTGGTCTGGACAAAGACACATTTAATAAAAGCATGGCATGAAAATCAGTAAACTACATTAATTTTAGTGAGTGACAATTGGCAAGGAAAATAACTATTTCACTTTTGGTTTTCAACCAATGTCATATCAAATTATTTAATAAAGGGTCTGACAGTGAACATTGTTACATGTTACAGACAGCAGTGTGTTTCTGAATGCCATTAATGCTTGGTTTTTGATGATTTCTGATATGATGTATAATGTATATGTAAAATTTGAACATAATCAGTCAAAGCATATCAGAAATATGGCACTACAACTGTATTCATTCAAACAAAATGACCACCAGTCAGCCATTTTGAATCCAATCTGAAAAACAAAATGACGTGCACCAAGGTCCCACAATGTCCAATGTATGTACCAAGTTTGAACAAAATCAATCTGTAAACATCCGATATCTGGTTCTAGAATGATTGATTTCAATGATTTTTCAGCACAAAAATGTTGACATCTTGAATCAGATCGTGAAACAAATTAATGTGCATATGTATAATAATTATGATGTATGTATGAAGTTTGAATGTAATGGGTCCAGGCATATCTAAAATATATTAATGAACAGATATAGATCAATCCATAAGTCCCAGTTTTCAGAGAAAAAGAATAACAGTTCAGCTTTCCAATCACATTATTTCAGCCAATAATAATCACATAAATTACCATAACTTAAAAACATAGACAATAACTTATAAGTGAATATTGTGAATTTCTTTCATTTTGTGAGAAAATTTGATAATCATGGCAAATTAAATTAAATTAATCATTGCAACTCTATCTAACAAGTCTATTTACAGGTACTTACTTCAACTTATCTCCTAGTATATCATTTTTCTTCACAGAACTTCTTTTCGCAACTTTATATCCCATTTTGCGATCCTGAGTAATGAGCATAGTTGGAAGATACCATTAAGAACAAAACGACACAACAATAAAACAGATTTGGAAAGCTTACTGCATCTTGAAAATTTCCCATTTTTCAAGACAAAATTTAGACGTTACAAAATGCCAGAATTGCTATATGCTGATGAATTAACTGCATAATTTACCAGTTTCTTTCGTGGTAATTAACATGTGCCATAATAAGGCTTTGGTTTACAATGTTATAATTACTAAGCTGAAACCTAATATGGTTTGAAAAATAATTTCAACTATTAAATATTATTTTGAGTTGCTAATATGTATGTTGAACCAGAAAACGAAAATGTACTTTTCTAAATGAAAACAACAAAAATTCAATATTTTTTTCTATTCTATTTTATTCTATTCTATTCTATTCTATTCTATTCTATTCTATTCTATTCTATTCTATTCTATTGAGGGCCATCTACAATAAATCTTATATATGTCGAAACCCCAATTAAATATGACGGGTTCAACATTCCTGATTTCAAGTATGACACAAACTTACAACTTCTCTTTGTTTCATTTCACTTTCTCTTTTCCCTTTCAACATTTCCATATATTTCTTATAGTTTATATATTGTTTCTTTGGTGCCTGAAAAATAAATCACTAATGAATATAACACCATCATCATTATTTTCCAGTCATATTACATGCTGGCATTGGAGAGTGTGTGGGACACAGTGCCAGTCATACTTGGTGTGAAAAGTTCAAAATCTTAGTTTGACTTTAGCCAGTATTGGCTATGCCACATATTACACACAAGTATGTAAACATACAAAAAGGAAGCATACTTCAAAAATATATGTCAACTGATTGACCGAGGAGATAATTGCCTGAGATAGCTCCACTGTTAGCAATGCATGTTTCAATTAAAGAACTAAAGATATCATTAGAAAATGAACAATATGTATAGTATCAAAGCAATCAGTCTTGCGGTTTTCAAAAAGAAGTCGAAAATATCACTTTTTACTAAAAATGACAAAAATGTTCATCAAAATGAGAGAATTGAAGATATCATCACAAAACGAACAAATCTAAGAGAGGTCTGCCTAAGGTACACCAAGTACCAAAGCAATAAGAATTGTAGTTTTCAAGTAGACGACGAACAATCACTCATATAATAATCTCTGCTCAACAAAGTCGACAGCAAGGCTAAAATAAATCTATTGCAGTGTATTCTTTGTAACAATGTTTACTTTTTAGATGGAGAATCTTATGGCTGATATAATAACTCTGGACATTGACTCACACAATAAATTGCTCAAATTTTGTTTCCCCAGATATAATGAATTAGGTACAGTAAATAAATGCAATACCAAAATTATTTTTCATTATTTTCATTGTTTGCAAGCACGATGTTACAAATTTGTTTTCGTCTGAAATTCACCATACATTTTGTTTTCTATGCAAAATGATCATTCGTTGCTGGGACAGGATTGACAAAATGTAAAGTTATTACAAAAGTTGTTTTCTCTATTCTCTGTTGACTTTTTCCCTTGATGCACTGCACAATAAGAAGATATTTGTAAATAATAACGGACATTTCGCAGTTCCAAAACATTAAAAAAGAAACTCTTTCTCTCTGCACAACTACACAGTCAACACAAAAGTAGGCATACAATGTACCTTGGCACCCAGTTTTATAGCTCTCTGTTCTTCTAGTTTTCTTCTATCACGATAAGAGAAACCAGAAATTCCAAAATTTCTGACATCCTTCCTGGCATCCTTCAAACTCATCACAGATATTTGGTCATTTTTACCATCAGTGATCTGAGCAATATCACTTGTCTCTTCTGTCTGCAAATAAAAATCAAACTAACTTTGGTTAATTTATGTAATATAGCAGATTCAGTCTTCAATTTAATTCTGAATTACTGCCAAATGTTAATAAATAACTGTACTTAACTCATAAGGTTTCACAAACTACAAACAGTTGAGTAATATTGAAATATTACAAAACATTGGATTTACTACCAGAGGCTTAAAACAAGTGAAGGAAGATGACAGGGGCAAGTGGCCCCTTAACCACATCATTTCAGCTCCATGAGACCACTCAGTTTTATTGATAATTTTACCAAAAATAAAGGAAGCCATTTTTTTTGGTTTTGACAGTTAGATTATTCATTGAGCGAGTTGGATTACTTGCCCGTGATACCCAGGATGATATGGATTTTTTCAGATATAAAACGATTTTAGGATAATTTGCTGATAAAGAAAATGATATTGTGAATGAAGCTAAATTTGAATAACTGACAATTGAACAAATTATTATTGTATTTAGACATGTATATATTCACTCATTAATTGATTCATTTCTTTGCCAAAAACATTATTTGTATTTCATTTTAATAAAGAATGTACCAAGTATTGTTTATTAAATCTTGTAAATGTATAGTTTGACTTTTCTAGGTTAATTTGAAGATTTAACACTTTGGTTAATAATTAGAGTTTCTATGACTTTGTTTGAATAATTTCAATCACCTTGATTCATTACTAATACTCGTACTAAATATGTGTATAATGAACCCAGCTTTAGAAAACATCCAGTAGCTGGTCAAAACAACCACCTACTTTCAATAAAATTCTTTTTTATTTTATTTAATTTTTGCTTTTTAGCACCAAAAAACACAAACAAAAATGCATACATGTGAATATACAGTGGTTTCCCAGTTTTGCTGGGACCAACTTCATTTCCAATTTTACCTAATTCTATATCACTGCAAAAATGTGTCAAAAGGCTGAAAATAAAGCAATCTTGTATTGGATTGTGTGTTGAGCAATAATTTGGGTTAGTATTTGATAACCATACTAGCTAAAAATGTTTTAGCATGAGAAATTTGATGTTTAAACAAGAGAAATTTAATACACTTGGCTGTGTGAGTGCGCAATTTGTCTGTTAGTGCTGAAATTGGATCAGCTGACAGGTTTGGTTTTTGTAGGTCACATCTATCATCCTGTTCTGCCCCTGCAAAATAAATGCCTGACATTCAATAGTTTATGATGTGAGTAATTATTTCTGCTTGTTCCTATCACTTTCATAATACCTGAACATTAGATATATCTTACCCTTTTCTTTTTCCTTTTATGATCTTCAAACACAATTACTTCAGGCATCCTTTTTTTTGGGTGTTGTTTTTCAACATCATTCTTAGATCCTACTGTTCGTGAATTTGATTTGAATGTTTCATCTTTTGTTACATCATTCAATCCTAAATCACATGCCCATGACTCTAATGCATTACTCCTCAATTGTGTTACTTTTGACAGTTTATTATCATCACCTTTTTCTTTTCTTAACTTGCTTTTCTTTTTCTTTTCCCTTCGTTTCTGATTATACTCTGTTTTATCTTTCCTATGTTCCTCACACAAAGGATCTGAACTCCTTATTCTAGTCTTTGTTTTCTTTTTCATTTCTCTGTAGCCATCTTCATCCAGCATGCTGTCTCCTAGTAACCAACAACAAAGTTTGAGTGAAGATAAAATATATATTCATTCCTGTATAGTAACATCACTGATGACTTAACCTTTTAGAGGAGCATATATGCCCTCAGTATAAAGCCCTTGTCTTGGATCCTTACATTTTTTTTCACCCCCCCCCCCCCCCTGATGATTTTGTAAATATTTTCCCCCAGGAAATGGAAGTTTATTTTTCAAAGGTAAAATACTGGAAGCAATTTATAAGCATGTGTATCTGGAAGAAAACTATAACACTCCTGGGAACTGATGTTTGCTTTTATACATACAGTATGGCATACGTATAACCAATACATTTCTAAATTGCTATTTGCATGTATCTCACGTTTTATGGTATCGGTGTTGTATCTGCTGTTTTGAGTTAAATCACATATATTTATCAAAAAATGTACAATGTTTCAGACAAGGTTTTGACTATGGTAACAAGGATTGTTATGAGGTTTGAAGCATTGTTAAAGGAATAATTATTATAAAAAAATAATATTAAAATGGTTGCTGTGCATCTCTGTTCTACACGAACGACAGTAATACTCATTGCAGTATTAGTGATCCACATTTTGTCTTGTATTAGTTGAGTTATGATTCGTTGATTTGATTCCTGATCTGTGACTCGTTGATTTGTGAATCACCCTGACCCTTCAAGGTTACCAATCATTTCAGTGAATATGAAATATGCTATCTGTGAATATGAAATATGTTATCTGTGAATATGAAATATGCTATCTGTGAATATGAAATATGTTATCTGTGAATATGAAATATGCTATCTGTGAATATGAAATATGCTATCTGTGAATATGAAATATGCTATCTGTGAATATGAAATATGCTATCTGTGAATATGAAATATGTTATCTGTGAATATGAATATGAAATATGTCATCTGTGAATATGAAATATGCTATCTGTGAATATGAAATATGCTATCTGTGAATATGAAATATGCTATCTGTGAATATGAAATATGCTATCTGTGAATATAAAATATGCTATTTGTGAATATGAAATATGCTATCTGTGAATATAAAATATGCTATTTGTGAATAAGAAATATGCTATCTGTGAATATGAAATATTCTATGTGTGAATATTAAATATGCTATCTGTGAATATGAAATATGCTATCTGTGAATATGAAATATGCTATTTATGAATATGAAATATGCTATCTGTGAATATGAAATATGCTATCTGTGAATATGAAATATGCTATCTGTGAATATGAAATATGTTATCTGTGAATTTAAAATATGCTATCTGTGAATACGAAATATGCTATTTGTGAATATGAAACATGCTATCTGTGAATATGAAATATGCTATCTGTGAATATGAAATATATCTTTGAATATGAAATGTGCTATCTGTGAATATGAAATATGATATCTGTGAATATGAAATATGATATCTGTGAATATGTAATAAGATATCTGTGAATATGAAATACGCTATCTGTGAATAGCCATTTTGACGAATTTTTGGCTGTTCACACGCCGCATACGAATAGACACTCGAATTTAAAGACAAAATTACCACTAGGAATGTTTATAGAGTCACAGAAGGAAATCCTGGGTACAAATTACCCCTTGGATACACGGGGAGTATGAATAGAAAATGAAATGACCCTTTCCATTTCGTCTGCAAAACAATCCCTATTACCACAGTCTCTCTATAGAGTGATAGAGGGACTGTGCTATTACTTATCCTATACTAAGAGTGATAACGTTAGTCATGACGTCAGACGTTTATACGTACCATACTCAAATAGTTTGTTGACGAGATCCGCTGCCATGTCATGATCGGATTCAGATTCGGAGACGGACATGGTGATAACGCCAGAATACAAAACGAAATGTAAATCCGGGCACAAAATACAACCTCACGTAAAAATACAGCTACGAATATGTCATATGACAACAGACTAGTGAAATGAATGAATGCTCTTAGGCGAACTTATTAGACGGAAAAACAGAAACACATGTGTTACGGTTAACGTCGGAGAGAACAACTACTTCCGGGAAACTTAATTACAAATTTCTAGATCGTGGGTTCGTCACTGTTTTGCTTTTCACATTCGCTATTTCATGCTTCATTACCATGTTATATTATTTGAGGCACGCCCTTATAAATTGTATTTATATAACAAAAAACATGATTTAAGTTAAATGTGTCCGTGTTCAATCATAGATATTCTTTACCAGAAATGCTAAAATATGTTTAAGTTGGCTCGAACTTCAAATGCATGAACAAAGTATTCCCGGGAAATGCGAGGTAATCTGTATATAATTAATTGTTATTTTATTCATTTTATGAGAGAGAACCAAGTGTAACCTATTTGGGTCATGAGATAGACTCAACGGGTATCCATCCTTCTAAGAATAAGGTTAGGGCTTTTGTGGATGCACCAAGACCAACTGACGTCCACACATTGAAGTCTTTCTGAGGTGGAATCAATTTTTATGGGAAATTCTTCAAGAATTTGTCCTCAGTGTTGGCGCCCTTATATAAATTACTACGTAAGGGTGTGTCATGGCATTGGTCGCAGCCACAAGAGCAATCTATTTAAAAACGCTAAGAAATTACTGATTTCAAGTGG